TCAGCCACTCGGATCACTATGACGCAGGCGCGTTGGGAATGGGCCCAGTACTGGGGTCCGAGGTACGACGAGGATGACGGCGAGGACGACCTGCGAAGGCATGGGCGTTAGATACCCCCGCAGGAGTCGCATAGCCCACGCGCCAGAGGCCAGCGAGGAGGCAGAGGGGGAGGAGGAAGAGGATGAGGTGGGGGAGGTGGAGGCGAAGGAGTTTGCAGAGGCGAAGATAGCGCCTGAATTCCAGAAGGACCACTACCTGGAGGACCACGACCTGGACCTCTTGCAACAAGCGGGCGCAACGGGCGACGCCATCGCCGTGGCCCACTGGGAGCGGCCCGACCCCCTCGTTCGATTGGGGCGACGCCGCATGGACTTGCGTGTCACGTGCGCCTGCGGGGGCGTTGCCCGCGAACGGACAAAATTAGCCTGGCGAAGGACCCAACCATATGCAACTGTGAATACCGCAAGTGTGAATATCGTTTTCGGCTGCGCTACCTCTGGGTAGTGGAGACGCATGCGAACACCCCCACTGGTGCCTTCGGTGGAGCCCCCTATGGGGCTACGAAACGCTGCCCTGGGTGGGGGAACCGCATGCAGGCAGCCCCACTGGGGCCTTCGGTGGAGCTCCCTGTGGGGCCACGAAACGCTGCCCTTGGTGGGGGAACCGCATGCGGGCACCCCCGCTGGGGCCTACGGTGGAGCTCCCTCTGGGGCTACGAAACGCTGCCCTGGGTGGGGGAACCGCATGAGGGCAGCCCCACTGGGGCCTACGGTGGAGCTCCCTATGGGGCTACGAAACGCTGCCCTGGGTGGGGGAACCGCATGTGGACACCCCCACTGGGGCCTTCGGTGGAGCTCCCTCTGGGGCTACGAAACGCTGCCCTGGGTGGGGGAACCGCATGTGGACACCCCCACTGGGGCCTTCGGTGGAGCTCCCTCTGGGGCTACGAAACGCTGCGTGGGGGAACCGCATGTGGACACCCCCACTGGGGCCTTCGGTGGAGCTCCCTATGGGGCTACGAAACGCTGCCCTGGGTGGGGGAACCGCATGTGGACACCCCCACTGGGGCCTTCGGTGGAGCTCCCTATGGGGCTACGAAACGCTGCCCTGGGTGGGGGAACCGCATGTGGACACCCCCACTGGGGCCTTCGGTGGAGCTCCCTATGGGGCTACGAAACGCTGCCCTGGGTGGGGGAACCGCATGTGGACACCCCCACTGGGGCCTTCGGTGGAGCTCCCTATGGGGCTACGAAACGCTGCCCTGGGTGGGGGAACCGCATGTGGACACCCCCACTGGGGCCTTCGGTGGAGCTCCCTATGGGGCTACGAAACGCTGCCCTGGGTGGGGGAACCGCATGTGGACACCCCCACTGGGGCCTTCGGTGGAGCTCCCTATGGGGCCACGAAACGCTGCCCTGGGTGGGGGAACCGCATGTGGACACCCCCACTGGGGCCTTCGGTGGAGCTCCCTATGGGGCCACGAAACGCTGCCCTGGGTGGGGGAACCGCATGTGACACCCCCACTGGGGCCTTCGGTGGAGCTCCCTATGGGGCTACGAAACGCTGCCCTGGGTGGGGGAACCGCATGTGGACACCCCCACTGGGGCCTTCGGTGGAGCTCCCTATGGGGCCACGAAACGCTGCCCTGGGTGGGGGAACCGCATGTGGACACCCCCACTGGGGCCTTCGGTGGAACTGCCACCCCCACTGGGGCCTTCGGTGGAGCTGGGGCCACGAAACGCTGCCCTGGGTGGGGGAACCGCATGTGGACACCCCCACTGGGGCCTTCGGTGGAGCTCCCTATGGGGCCACGAAACGCTGCCCTGGGTGGGGGAACCGCATGGACACCCCCACTGGGGCCTTCGGTGGAGCTCCCTATGGGGCTACGAAACGCGTGAGAGGTGTGCCGAGAGCAGAGGCAAGGAGGGGGAGGAGGAGGAGGAGAGGAGGAGAGGAACGCGGGGCACCGTCTCTTCAAAACGAGGACCCAACACCACAGGATGGTTGGGAAAAAAACATCGTCGCGCTGCTGGTCGAGGATTGCGAGCGCAGAGCCAGAGGGGGGACGAGGAGACAGACGAAGACGACAAGGGCGACGAACTACAGGTCGAAGATGGGGACGCACGCGCGAGGGAGGAGGGAAAGGCAGCACGTGATATGTCCGCCAAACTACAGGCTGAGAAGGAGGAAGTGGCGAGACAGAAAGCAAGGGAGGCGGCCCAGCGAGAGGAGGAGGAGCAGGAGTCGAACAAGAAAAACGAGGTTGAGGCAGCCGACAAGACGGCGAGCCGTGCGCGCGAGGCCATCCTCGTCAGGCGCAAACGCATCGTTGGCAGATAGCTGCGATTGCCGCCAGCTTAGCTAAGAGGGTCACAAGCTCTGCCTCGAGGGCCACGCGCAAGGCTACGCGAACCACCGGCAGAGCTACCAAAACCACTAGCGTATCCCTTGCCCCCCACGAGGGCCTTAACCCAAGCTGCTACAGTCATCGGCCGAGCCACCAGGGCCACCGGTGGACCGTCGAGGGCCACAAGCTGAGATATTAGCGCCGTAGGCGGAGCTACGAAATCAAGCTGGAGAGCTTCAAGGCCTCCCGCCGAGCTACGAGAGCCACCAGCAGAGTTACGAGATCCGC